TATCCATTCCTCAAACCAAATGTTTTCATGAAGTGATGGTCACACCATCTGGATTGAAGGGAATAATGGGACTAACCAGTGTAGACATGACATGTGAGAGAAGGAGAAGAAGAAGCAAAATGGCTGTTTTTTTAATATGTGCTTCAATTTTTTGTTTTTGCTCCTTTTTGTTTAATATTAACATACACAGCAGGTAAGTTGGTAAGGTATTCCCTGAAATGTACATTATTAATACATGCACCACAGGAAAGGTAATGAAGGACAGTCTGTGAGACCTGATTATTTTTATGACGGATTTTATTGAATTTATCATATACACAAGCAGCCCAGGGATCTAACAAATACATGATGAGTGGTGCCTATCGGTTACTTAATTCGTTCTTAAGTTGTATTATATCAGTGTCTGTTTATTTGGACCAAATCTGGGAGGGTCCCCTTTCTAATTAAGGTGATATAATTCTTTAAAACATAAAACATTTCTGAATGCTATTTTTGTGTATATTCTGTTTTTCTACCATATACGTTTCAGCTTTCGAATGATCCATGTCTTACATGATTAATCATGATAACCATAATCATAATTTAAAGTCTGGAATTTCTCTTTCTGAACATAAATATTTTAAGCACAGAGGAGGTTTTAATGAATCATAAGTCAGGTCTGGATTTCACCTAATTTCTGTATTACATAAATGAATGCAAAAGGACATATGTAATTTAAAAAAGTCTATGTTTCTTGCCTTGTTTGGTGATTATCAGTTTTCCAGCAGATCACAGATTTTTTAGGCGTTACTGCTGTTTTTTTAATGTATGGTGGAATATCGTGGTCCAAGTTATATCCTGGATATTATATGGCATATTCACATAGTTTTGATTGCATTGATGAAGTCCAGTCAAGAACTTCCATGTGTTGGCATAACTGATAATTTTAATATAGTTATGTTTACTGACCCAATTGTTTCATACAGCTTGCAGAAGAGAGGCGACTTGATATAGAGAAAAGAAAGGCTGAAGAAGATGAGCTTAAGAATAGAAAACGGCCAAGGTAGTGGAGGACCAGTTCAAGATGTTTCGGTCTGGAGTTGGCAAGTTCCTTGACTTAGGAAAATCATCAGTTTCGTAAGTACAGGCATACAAATGCTAGATGACTTGTCTTCTAATAGTTTAATATTTTGATGAGCTCAGACTTTATCTTACCTAATCCAGATATGAAACTCATATTCTTACCTTAAAGATCATTTAATTACTATAGCTTTTATGAATAGTTCATGGTTTGAATTCTGTACAAAATGTATATTAAAAGCATTTCTTCCCTCAGAAAAGAAGAACTTCAAACATCATCACAACAGAAGAAGAAGAAGGATGCAACATATGGCTTTAAGGATTTCAGTATTTTCTAAGGACTAATTGTTTAGAATTGGATTTAATCAGAATACATTACTTTACAAGTTTTCCCCAAAAGTTAGATTTTGGGTATTTTGTTCATATTTTATTGTAAGATTGCTAAGTGGTATCTGTACCAGTAAACATTCTATTTAGAGAGAATTGTACTTTTGAATATAATAAACTGTAAATGATATTTGGCTATGACAATCTATATCCAATTGTTTAGGAAAGAGTTGCTTGTGTTAAACCTTTCATAGAGTGTCTATGTCAAGGCAAATAATTAGTTTCCCCATTATAAAACTTTGATTGTCCAAGCCAAAGTGCTAAGTGGCAAGTGGTAAATAGTGCTTTGTCTCTCTCCATGTCTGGATCCTGGAGTGAATGAAACCTTCACAGGTAAATTTTTCAGTGTTAAATCAAGGATCATTAATACTCAGTAGACATGCCTCTGTGTACCATATTTCAAATTAAGAGCATGTCATTTCTTTTTAGAAAACTTATTTTTTGGAAGCTTGGCATGTTATATATGTAGAAGATAAGTGTACCATCTTTCTTGTAAGGTTTTACAGATCTAAGAATTTTGGCTCTTGGTACTAGTGCTCCAAACTACATCACTGTTAGCATCACTAATACAGGAATGCAGTTAATGCAGCCAAGCAGACTGACACATCCTTGTTAGCTCTTGTTGGACGATCTTCCAGAATTGTAGGTCTTCTGTATGTGCCATGAAAGTTAAACTAGTATTAAAGATTAATCCAAATATCTAATGTACATGTGCAATGGCAGTGTCCAGGATGAACTTTTAGTTCAACTCTGGACTAGGCTTTATTTTTGAGCTCAAAGTTCAATCCTGTACACACGCAGAACAACTTAGTTAATCCCACCAGTCGTGTATTGATATGTAATGGCAATGTCATCAACTCCATAGAGATGTGGAGTTTAATTGCCATTAATATTTATAATAAAGCAATAATGAAACAATTTCTGACATTTTCATGTCAAAGATGTATGTGAAAATTCAGTATATATTTTTAGAAGTTGTGGGAATATTCAAACTGCAGATATAACTCTCAAC